ATTTTGATATACCAAACACCCCCCCACTCGTCTCTTCAGAGACCAAAACACACACCACCACATACCACCGCCTTCCGCCCGCCGGAAATCGCCCACGGCGGCAGATGGTGGCCAAACAACCCCAAAATCACACCCCTGAACCACCAAACCATCCCCTCTCCGAATCCACGCTCGTTTTTCTTCGAATCACCCCCGAGCCCCTCAGATCTTAGATCAAATAAATCGACCCAAACCCTAGTTCATCTAAATCGACCCCAAATCAACGCCACATACCCCCTGTGACTCATTCATAACGAATTCATCATGGATTCCTTTCGAATCAGACCAAAGTTCGTTGAATATCAAATCTAAGTTCAAGCCTTAGAACCCTAAATTGTGACCAGTGCACAAGGGGGTCGTTTGTTTGGATTTCTTGGTTTATTCAAGTCTATTTCAGCATAAAATAATGACGCCCGTTTGTTCTCCAGCAAGAACAAACGTTTGGCATTATGTTGTGTTGACTCAGCATGTCATTTCCCAGTTCGAGCCTGGCCGGTGAGTTTATTTCCTAGTTTTGTTTATTCTGTTATCAATCTTTCCCCGTCTCTTTTTCTTTTCTCTGGTCATTTTCGAATTGAAACTAGACCAGTCCTCTGTTTTGGCATTTTGTTTATTCGACCATTTTGTTTATCAAGAACAAACGTTTGGCATTTTGTTTATTCTATTGCCAATTCGCTGTTTTGTTTGTCATATTATTTGGGGAATCTATTCTTGGTATCACAAGTCTGTATAGTCAGTTGTGTGAAACCCTGCCTTGTTTAATAATTTAGTCAGTCAAATTGGTTCATTTCAACTTAATAGAACTTGTTCATCCCATGCTCGTGCGTATTGTTAAACAATCTTATGGGCAATTCAGTGTTGTCTTGTTTCTTTTGCTGTTGGAATAAAACACTGAATTGGTTAATCAGTTGAGTTTTGTGAATCTGTTTGTTTTAGCTATTGTTTGAATCTGTATCCTGATTGTTAGTCGGTTTAGGAATCATTAGTTAATGAAGTTAAGGGTAAATCACTGAAGTGAAAGTGTTAAAATCAAGTAGAAGCCCATTCTGGTTGTCAGGGCAAACCTGAGTTTTAAATTCAGGCTGCCCATACACCTTTGAATTAAAGAATGAAATTAGACACTTAGTAGTGGCTGTCAGGGAATATGATAGAAGAAATACATTTCTTAATAATCTAAGTGTTAAAACAGGCTGGAAAAGGGGTCTGTCTTAGGGTATAAAATATAGGGCAGACCTTAGAATAGGGGTTCAGACCTTAAGAGGGCTAAAAAGAGAGACAGAGTTGGGGGCGGAATTTTTTTGAGAGAAGGGAGATCAGTCTTTGATTAGTTTTTTTAGAGAGTTCAAAAGGTTCTGAATTTCGAGACCTTAGGAGTTTTAGAGAGGTTCTACTTTGGTTCCTCTCTAATCAGTCTTAGAGAGCAGTTTTGAGGATCCAAAAGATCAGTTTTATTTGAGGGCTTTTAGGATCAGTTTTTAGAGGTTAAATTTTAAAAAATCTTTGAGGAGAGTTGAGGACAGTTTTTGAGAGTTTTAAATAATCAGTTTCTTTTAGAGAGTGCTGTAGAGTTTAAGAATAGAAAACCAAAAGAAAGATATTGTTTCATTGCATCCGTAGGTCTAATTCGAATTCTGGATAGTGATTCTCATTCCTTTTGATTGCTTAAGTGGTTCAGTGGTCTACTGGTTCATTTTTGGGTTTAATACAAGCTTGGTTAAGTCTGTTTGTCTTGGTATTTGTTGTTGCTATTGGTTTACAACCTTTTTGGGTTTTTCTGGAGTATTGATTGAGTCGCTGCTGCTGGTGTATTGCTGTTGTATTGCCTGCTACTAGCCTGTTTGCTGACCTCCTTCTCTTCTCATTGTATTGCCATTTCCAGGTATCCCTTGAATCCATAGAAGATGAGATACAAAAATATGTAAAGTTGTAATTACGTGAAGCTTGATGACTGAATGATCTTTGGCCTTCAGTCTTCAATAACAACTTGTTTGGAATCTAGTAGCATAATGTGAAAGTAGTTAGTTTAGTTCATCCTAGTACAAGTAGTGTATTCTGGGAATCATGTTGCTCTTTCTTTCTTATTTGAATATTTGTGGTATGTAAAGTTAATTGAATACTTGAGATACTGTGTATATGGACTATTAACCTATGCCTATTCTCTTCAATATAATCGACTTAGTATGGTTCAATTTTAGTATAGTCCAAGTATGGCACCCTGTTCTATAAAGTATTTAAAACTGGAATATGATGGAGCCTAAAAGGTTAGGAAGAATGTCTATGTTCGTACAAGTAATTCCATGTATAATAGATGGTAGAAATGGTTTATACTTCATTGTTTAGTGTCAATAACCCTAGCCTGGATATCATGTAGTCATAGTTCAGAAGTTGCATCTATTCTAGCTTCGATATTGAGTTATTATGATTTGCCTACTAATTGCATAT